GGGGCAATATGCTGACTCTCTGTAAACCGCTTAGAGAGGCCTGAAAGGCCTATGAAGCGGTATATAAGTCTACTGCTAAGTCTACTGCTATTACACAAGCAAGAGGGTCAGACATGGGAAATCCCACTCTATATCCTACAATGGACATCTCTGCATTTGTGCAGCAGAGGTAGAAGACCTGGCTCACATCCTACCTATTTGATTGTTGCAGGGATGGGTTGCTGCTGGCATTACTGCCGGTTTGGCGCATATTTTTTTTTGCTCTGTGCGTGTGCACATTTACATCTAAAAAGGTGAAAAGGGGAAAAATACATTTTTGCAATGAAGATTGTTCTGCGCATGCGCAGAACCAAAAATCAAGATGGTGCCACTGCCGATAGAACCAGTTCGGGGTCGTGGCAGGTCGAGTTACTACCTATTCAGCTGAACCGGTAGGAACTCACCTCTGGATCGTTGCCTGTATAAGTGGGTGAGAGACAGGTACCTTGGTCTATATACCAAATGAATGACCCATTGAGATTCAAAACAACTTACCTTATGTGCCAGTGGTGGGATTCGCTTACCTTCCCTACCGGTTCATAAATGTGAGCGTGCACGCAGGGCTGGCTGGGGAATTCTGGGAATTGAAGTCCATGTCTCTTAAAGCTGCCAAGGTTGAAGAAACACTGAGATATACATCTCAGGGCCTCCTTTATATTGTGTTTTTTATTAAAAAAATTATTTTTATTAAACAGTTTTTTAAAAAGAATTATTTTAAATTTCCTTGTGTACAACATTTCCACATCGGTATACATCATTTTGTATGCATTTCTCCCCCCTTATTTCAATTTCTCTTTATCTATACATATGATATTAATATATACATTCCTTAAGCTTAACAATCCTTCATTGTGTATCATTTCCATTTATACATGTACATATATGTACATTGCTAAATTCTAATTCCTGTGTCTTCTTCATTTAGTCTTTCCTTAAGCTTTACACCTATCCTCTAACCATTTGTACCATTCGTTCCATACTGTATAATATTCTGTTTCCTCCTTTTCTTGTATTTCTTTTGTGAGTCTGTCCGTCTCTGCACACTCTAAAACTTTCTTTATCACATTTTCCTGTGTTGGTATGTTATTGTTCTTCCAGTTTTGTGTGTATAATATTCTAGTTGCCGTTATTGATGTGTAAAATTAAATACTGTATTTTTTAAATCATATTTCCTTGTAGGTATTCCCAATAAAAATAATTCCAGGTTCATATCAATTTGCTATTTAGTTATTTCTTCAAGCTCTTTTCTTGTTCTATTCCAATATTGTTTAACTTTGGGACATAACCACCACATGTGATAATATGTCCCCTGATTTTGTCTACATGAGTTTTTTTTTTAGCGATGCAAGGAGTATATCTAAGTACTAAACTTTGCCTTCATAGAGAAACTGTGTTTCTTACATCTGCTGGAGGCATTTTCTTTGCTGAGTGTTTAGTCCCTGTGTGAGAAAAGAAACTCCAGAAGGGAAAAGCTTCATCATCAGCTGTATGGTTTGCTCTTATCTGCTAGGTGGTGATGAAAATCCTTCAGATATTGCCAGAGGGACACCGGATGAAGAAGGAGGTTGACATGGCATTGGACACAGTGAGTGAAACAATGACGCCCATGCACTACCACCTGAGAGAAATCATCATTAGTACTTACAGACAGGTAAGGTTAACCTCAGAGAGAAGAAAAAAAAACCAAGTTACTGGGTGTATTTTATGATTTTTTGCTCGCTTCTGGTCCAATCGGCTAATAAGACCAGTTGTGAGTGTGTTGTGACTTTAGTCAACCATGTATAATTGGAATGTTTTGGGGTGTTGCCATAGAAGGATCAAAAATAAGAGGGCATGTTGCGGCTGCATGACAGCGCATGCACCCACACCCATAATGCAATGCACATGCAACCGCTCCCTGCGCATGCACATGAACCCCTCCATGCTCCTCCACCCATGCACCCCACCCACCCTTGAGCCCCGCGCAGTGCCCCTGTGCCCCATTTTGGGCCTGGAAGGTTTCCTGCACCAACCTGGAAGCCAAAACAGGGTGCAGGGGTGCTGTATCAGCCCCCAAAATGCAACGCGAGCATCCCCCCTATGCATGCGCACTGCCCCCCCCAGCATGAGCATGCGTGTCCATGGCATGCCCTCTAACCCTCACGGATGCACGGTGGAGCTGGGCTGGGATGGCAGCTGGCTCTGTGTGCCAGCCGCCACCCCAATGTGCCAGCCACTCACGTGCGCCATAGGTTCGCCATCACGGCTCTAGATTGTTTGTAGTCTTTAGTCCAAGAGATTTTTATTTCATGGCAACTGTCACCATTCCTGTTAGTTTATGAGCCTAGAAAGATAAAATTGGTCAACTTTTTAGTTCTTTCTCTACCCCTTTTCAATTGATGGGTTGTGCCTGTTGACATAATATTAGTTTTTGAAACATTGAGCAGTGGAGTGGCTTTTGAATTCTCACCTCCAACAGGATATTCCATAAGATTTCCTCATTTCAGCCCTTGAGGTTGTTATCATAACCCTAACTGAAGCTGTTAATGTTTCCCCCAGTTATTTCTGCTGATCTGTTTTACATATGTTAAATGAATATGATGGTAGTATTCAATATATAGTGTTTTCCAAGTTTGGAACCATTTAATTTCTCCCTATTCTGTTCTAAACAGAGAGCCAGTTTGATTTAGTGCTTAAGGCGCCAGGCTAGAAAGTAGGAGACCAGGAGGATGTAGGAGAGGTCCCAGTTGTTGGGACTGAATTCTAGTCCCACCTTTGGCATGAAAGTTGATTGGATGACTTTGGTCCAATCACTCACTCTCAGTCCATGACATCAGATTTGCATGACAAGCTGGTTGGTTAATTCCTGTCGCAACCAATGGATCAACACTCCATTGATTTGAAAAAAAGGAGACCTTTCATGTGTGATTGCCACCTTCAACCTTCCCAGCCAACTTACCACAAGCAAAGTCAATAGGGGATGCCAGATTTTCTTAATGACTGCATGATTCACTTAACAACTGCAGTGATTCACTTAACAACTTTGGCAAAAGAAATTCATAAAATTGAGTGCAATTTATTCAACACCCACCTTACTTAGCAACAGACCTCACCCCAACTGTGGCTGTATTTCAATGACTACCTATAAAGCTCATCTTTATATACGTTTCCTGTTCCTTTACTTTTATTCAAGAAATCCTTTATCCTCCCCTTTTGACTATTTGACTCTTCTTGTATTTTTAAAAAATGGAAATCAGTGTTCAGTTGGACA